AAACCTGGTTTTTGCCAGGCCAGGTCCTGCTGAAGTTTAATTGCAAGATCTGAGGAAATGAGTTAACATGCAAGCCTGAGATTGCTATGCTTAGAAAGATCTGCTTGCACAATTGGCCCTGGGTTGATGTTCAGCGACTTTGATTTCAGGAGGATTTCCACCATTCCCAGAACTGATAAGAGTGGCTCACTATGCCTAAACTGTTTGGACAAACAATGTGGCTTGTGCTGAATTCCTGCTTTCCTTCTGGGAGTCTGGCATCTTGGTACATGCTAGGCAGAGGATGCCTACATGGCCAGCCCCCAATAAAAACTGAGCACTGAGTCTAATGGGCCTCCCTGGTGGACACTTTACATGTGTTGTCACACTTTGTTGCTATAGGAGTTAAGTACAGCCTGTGTGACTCAACTGGGAAAGGCCTCTTGGAAGCTTGTGCCTGATTTCACCCATTCTTTGTCTCATGCACCTTTTCCCTTGGTTGATTTGTTCTGTAACCTATTACTGTAATAAATCATAGTGTGAGTATGATTATATGCTGAGTTCTGTGAGTGATGATGGCAAGTCATTGAACCGGGAGGTGGTCTTGGGGACCTCAGACAGGGGATAAGCCTAGATTTCACAGAGACAACTATAATCCTATAGCAATGTTTTATGAATATACAGCTTAAACTCAGCACGATCCAATAGAAACATAATGTCAGTTGTGTATGTAATTTAAATTTTTCTATTGGTCACATTTTACAAAGTAAAAAGAAAGAGGTGAAATTAATTTCAAGAATATAGTTTCTTTAATCCAACATATAAAAATATTAACGTCTCAACACGTAATGAGATAAAAATTTATCGAGATATTTTTACATTCTTTTTTTCTTACTAATTCTTCAGAAACCAGTGTGTATTTTACATTCACAGCACATCTCAGTTTGGACTAGCCACATTCCAAGTGCTCACAAGCCACATCCAGCTATTGGCTGCCATGTTGAACAGCACAGGTTTGCAGATAGTGACAAGGACTCTGGAAACAGGACATCTGGGTCAGAATCCTGGTTTTGCCACCTACCAGCTGCATGACCTTAAGCGAAGTGATTTAACCTATGTGTTAGTTTCTTCATCTCTAAAATGGGGATAATAATGTTAGCTACCTCATGAAGTTACAGGGATTCTTCCAAAAGTCAGTAAATCTAAAGCAGTACCTGATGCATATAGGATGTTGGGTGAATGCTGGCTGCTCCTCTTACTGTCCAAAAGGTTGGCCTTTGAGGTCAACTTGTCCAACTCTTTATTCCATAGATGAGGAAACTGAGGCCCAGAGTTTGGAAGGCACTGGTTTGAAAAGCAAAGGCTCTAGCCACCTCTTTTCCTGTCCCCTGGCTAGCTCTAAGACAGCACCTGCCAATTATTTAGGAAACCAGCAGCTTCAGGTCCCCACCTAGGTTCTGCAATCCTGTCTTGATTGCAAAACAGGGCCACCATTTGAGTTGGCACTGAAGTGGTGGGGCTGGGCCTCCCTTCTGCCACCGCCAACTGGACCCATCAGGTGGGCTGGCTGACTCCGTCACTGAGTCCAGTGCTTACTCAGCACCCATAGGGCTGGCTTCCATTGTTTTCACTTTTTACGCCCTTCTTATTTATTAACTCATGTTCTATCTTCCTCGAAGACGCAGAGCATCAGCACTTTTTTAAAAACCTCCTTTTAATCATCTACAGTCCCCATCCACCCACCAAGCAGGTAGATAGGGAGCTCCCCAAATACGTCTAAAAAAGAGAGAGTGAAGGGGCACTGGGTGCCCACTTATCTGGGATGCAGTAGGGCATGTTCTCAGGCTGGAAACAAAACTGGCTTATGATTCCTTTAGAGTATCTGTCTCCATCCTTCCTTTCCTGAAACCCAGATGAAATCATCTGCTCTCCTCTGACAAACTCATACATCTCAAATCTTACTAGCAGCTGGAATCAGACCAGTTTCGTGGGCTCAAACTTGATAGCACATGCTGACCTGAAGATCTGTTTATTCCATTTGCCCAGTAGTGTTTTATTTGGCATTTGTTTATTTAATAGATAGTTACTGAGCATCTACTGTGTATTAAGCCCTCTGCAAAGTGGTGAGAATGAAGCCTTTGTGGACCTTATGATTTGTTGTAGAAAACAGACAAACAAGAAATGATGGTAAAGTACAACAAAGGCTTGATATAGAAAATGTCAAATACTCTAGGAACTATAACAGAATAAAGCAAGGGTTGACATGATGCTGAAACCTGAAAATGGTGGGAGAGAACCAGTAAAAGAGAGAGAACATGGAGAGTTCCAGACAGAACTCAACAACATAGACAAGACCTGGAGGTGAGAGAGAACGGCATGTTGGAAGAACTGGAGAACAGTCCAGTACAGCTGGGTAGAGAGAATAAGAGGAGTGTGGCAAAAGATGAGGAAGCGGCTGGATTTGGAGAATACTATCTGAAGCGCTAAGGAATTTGGACTTTAACCTGAGGGCAAGGGGAAACATCCTGGTGGAGAATAACATCTTTCAAAACATAGGGTTCCTGGGAACAAATCAACCAAATGTGCTAGAAAGGTTGAGGGTGAAGTGTTGTTTTCAACCTTGTCTTCATCATCTTTGTACTGAGGCTCAGACCTCCTTTGAAAGTAGTCTGCAGCATGAAGGCCCAACCCAATGGCAGGCCATGCTCCCTCAACCTCCCAGCCCACTGTCCATGAGATCAGTACTTCCGAGTCTGGTGCAGCACGGGTCTTCCTTAGACCCTTGGAACTGTAGAGCCACAGAGACCACCATGGAGAGATTGTCAAAGACGCTTGTCTAACAGATTGACCAACTGAGGCCCAGAGAAAGAAGGTAACTTGTCTGTGGCCCCACTGCAAGCCTCAGGCTCTGACTCCTTCTTGTCTCCCCCAGAGAAACCAAACACCAGGGCTAGGACTAGGGTGAGGCAAGTCAGGCACTCAGGGTGCACCATTTAAGGAGGCACTCGCTCGCGGGTGCCAGCTCTGCACCTGCCTTACCCTCGTCCTGGCTCTGTTGGACACACTTCGAAGGTAGGGATTGTAACTTTCAGAAACCTTTTTGACATCTTTCATCGTGTTGACATGATGCTAGGCACATTTTTTTTTTTTTTTTTCTTTTTTGCGGTACGCGAGCCTCTCACTGTTGTGGCCTCTCCCGCTGCGGGCCACAGGCTCCGGACGCACAGGCTCAGCGACCATGGTTCACGGGCCCAGCCGCTCCGCGGCATGTGGGATCTTCCCGGACCGGGGCACGAACCCGTGTCCCCTGCATCAGCAGGCGGACTCTCAACCACTGCACCACCAGAGAAGCCCCTAGGCACATATTTTGAGGGATCCTAGATTCCTGCTGATGCTAATGAACAATGGATTTCTGACAAACTGATATGTATACAGATGTTTGTATCTTTGGTTAAATATGACCTTCAGGAGACACCAGAACAAAGTCAAGAGGGCCTGAGAATGGAGTCTAGACCTGGATTCTGGTCCCCTCTCTGCCATCAGTTGGCTTTGGGAACTTGTTCCCCGTCTCTAGGCTTCAGCAAAATGAGGTGGTTGAATAAATAGCATTTATTGACTACATACTCTGTGTCAGCCCCTGTTCAAATGCTTCTGTGCTTTAACTCATTTAAAGAATTCCTGGCCTTCAACACTCCCTTCACTTCAACAGGCTGTGGTTTGAGGTAAGGAAGGCTTCAGAGAACGTGGGATTGAGACAGACCTTCCAAATTCCCACGGGGACAATACTATCTTAAATCATAGTAGAGGCATGGTATCTCAAGGCACTTCTCCATCAGAAGACAGAGAACCACCTGCCTCAGAATCACCTTTGGAACATGTCTGAAGGTGGGGAGCCTCAGCCTCTGCCGCTAGAGATTCTAATGCACTGATTCTGAAGAGGGACCTGGGAATCTGTATGAAAATCTTCTCAGGTGGCTGGTAGTCTGATTTGGGAAGCACTGATCCCAACGCAGTCCCCTATCGGTGGAGAGAATCATACCTAGACAGCACAGACCTAGAGCTCCCTGAACTGATCACCAGCATCTTGAAGCAGAGAAACGAAGTCATGGATTGACTAATGCTGCAAATATTAAGCACTTGTTGTGTTCTAGGCCCTGTGCCAGCGGGTGATTACGGTCCCTACTCTCAAGCGACTCCTGGTCTAGGTCTGTCACTGATTTTTAGAAACAAGTCATCTAGCCAGAACCAGAAGGGACTTAGAGAGCATCGGCCACTCCCATCATTACACAGTTGGGGAAACTGAGGCCCAGAGAGGGAAAGCAACATGTTCAAGGCTACACAGGGAGCAAATGTATTTTCTGCTCTCAAACCAGCTGAGGAATCCCAATGTTCTTCCCAGGAGAGGGCTGCATTCAAAATCCTAGGGCATTCACTCTTTGCTTTTTAAGCACTAAACCAAACATAGAGTAAATAAATGTTCCTGGAAGTCTCACTTCAGATCTTGCTGACATTTTAGGTCCTTAATATCCCTTCAACCAGAATGGAGGCAGGAGGGAACAGGGAACACCGAGCGGGTGCCATCAACTCTTCGGTGCTTTTCAAAGCCCTTTCCATGGCTGTGCTGAGGACATTGTGCCTGCCTCTTCCAGCACTTTAGAGTCTAAATAAGAAGAGGGTCCCGCCTCACGGGTTCACAAGGAACTGGCTCCCATCTCTCTGTCCAAACTTGCTTATGTCACTGTCGCCCGGGGCCTGGGGAGGGGGAGAAGCGGAGGGTAAGTTGTGTCCGCCCCTGAAATGCCAGACGCCCTGCGATTGGCTACAAGGACTCCGGCCCGGCCGCGGATTGGTCATCGCCGAGGGCTTGAAAGGTGGATGAGAGCGGACGACACCTCAGACGGACTGTGGCCGGGGATCAGACAGCGTCTTCGGCGAGTCCGAGACGCGGCCCCCGCCCACCATGGCCCGGCTCTTCCGGGCATCCTGCCTTCTCTCCCTGCTCCTGGCCGGCTTCGTTCCGCTGAGCCGAGGACAGGAGAAGTCGAAGGTGAGTGAGCCTCGGGGATGGGTGGCCAGGGGATCGAACGTGGTCCGCAGGTGCCCATCTCTCGGTGGTGAGGCACCCTTCTTCCCGGGCTCCCCACCAGTAGGGTGACACCTAGGTGCGAGAGACGCCCTAGCTCCCGTTGCCTCCCTCTTCAGCATACCCAGACCGTCGTCAGACTCTTCGCGGTTCCATCTGTTGGAGACCTGGGTGCCCCGGGTGGGCAGAATGAATGAGGGAGGAAGGGTCTTCTCTCCCGGCCCACACTTTCATCCCTACGGCTACCTCCGGGTCGCCTTGCTACCTCCAAGCCACCGTCTGTTTCTGAGATGTTCCCCTCCAGTGGGGCCTGAAGGGGGTGGGGGGGCACAGAAAATGGCCTGGAGACTCAGGGTCTGGGTTGGCTGCAGAGGTTCCCAGGGAGAATGGCAGGCAAGGTGAAAGGGAAGGAACACGCGGCTGCGTGGTCCCCGTCTAGCCCAAGCATAAACGCAGGTAGAATTCTGGGATACTGGTAGAAGACGCAGAGATCTGTGACAGAAGGAGCTCTGAGCTGGCAGCACAGAATGCCCAGGATGCTGACTAGACTCCCTTTTCCTTTGTGGACCTCAGTTTCTCCACCTGTGGCAGGTGGGAGGACAGGGCACAATGAGGCTGATGATTTCAGAGGGGATGCTTGGAGAAGCTGCAAAATCCACACGCTGTTCTCTGAAGTGTCTCCTGTTTGGGGGCAGCCTCACTACCCACCACCCACTGCCCATCTTGGCCTGAGCAAACCTGGTAGTTGGAGAAAGCTGGGGACTGCCAGCTCGATAGGAGAGGCGGAATTCTCCTGAGCCTCAGTCTATCCCCACCAGAGTGTGTGGCCCTTAGCTAGAGTGGAGATGCTGAGGCCAGGAGCAGGGGTGACCACACATGCTTATCTCTTTGGACAGTATATGCCAAAGTGGGTGCTGTAGATCTCTCCTCTTCCCCAGGGTGGGGAGGCAGAAGCGAGGCACAGACCCAAAGAGAGAGATTTATGTCTCCAGCATCCCAGCGCGCACGCACGCGCGCGCACACACACACACACGCACACGCTTGTATAAGCTGAAGAAGCAGCTTTGCACTTGCTGTGTTTCTCAAATCTTCCAGATCTTAATTCTAAGATCTTATGACTCCATGATTCTGTTTCCAAAATCGTTATCTACTGTTCAGGAAGCCCATTCCAAACACAAGGTTCCTTCTGTCTGTTTCTATCCCCTGTCCTGTCCTCAGCCTAAATTCCAATCAGTCTGCCCCTGCTTGGAGTCAGCCTTGAGACTGGATGGTTATGGGGTCACTTCCTCTAAGCCTCTGGCTTTGTATCCAGTCCTGTTCATAATCTCCAACTCAGAAGGTATTTTCCAGGGCAGGGATGGTACTGAATTTCAATATTGGGGTGTGGAGTAGAAGTGAGGGTAGAGCCTGTGTAGGGCAGTATCTTGGAGTCCTATAACCTCAGTTTGGGGAGAAGCAGAGAAGGGAAGATGGGCCCTGCTTCAAGAAGGCTGGAGGTAAGAACATGGAGCCCGTGAATTACTCATCATAGCCATGCGCTCTCTGTAGAACTCTGGGGAGTAGATGGATTCAGAGAACACAGGATGGGTATGGTGTAGAAAAGTCTTAGGGTGGGGTGTGATCATATCAGATACAACCAGCTAGGACTTGCTAGCTAATGACAGTCTGGGCATGCCTCTTTCTCCTCCAGGTCCCGAGAGAGCTGAAACGTCATAGTCCTGGGTTCTAGGACTCAACCACTTGTCCTACCCCAACTCCAGGGCCAAGCAATGGGGCAAGGGGCAGGTGGAGAATGGGATGGACAAAGGGTGAGAGCCCCAAAGGGATGTTTGCCTCCTCCCAATTCAAAGGGAGGGGCTGGGTAACAAAGGGAATCCTCCTTTCCTTGCCATGTCCCCTCTCCAGTCCGGTTTAAGACTGCCCAGCCTCCCTGTCCTTCCTCTACAAAAGGACTTTGCAGAGACTAGAGAGAATAACAACCGCTGACGTGCGTGGGATCCTAGTAACCGCTGGTTTCTAGGTGACTAAACCAGGCAGAGAGAATCATGGAACCACCGGCTGACAGTCAGGGCTGAAGAGCCCTCAAGACAGCACTGAATCTGACCCCACCTCACAGCTGAGGAGCCAGAGCCCCAGAGAAGGGACGGGAGTCCTCACACAGAATCAGAGGCCCAGCCAGGCCCAGAACTCAGGTCTCCTGCCCCCAGTCCAGCTCTCCTCTCACACTTTCACACTGATGGGAGTGGGCAGATGGGTGAGGAGAAAGACACAGGACCAGCAACCCAAGCCAGCTGGGGACCTGGCGTGGTCCCCCCTCCAACTCTCAAGCCATCGAAACTCTCCTGTCTTGTGCAGTTGTTTGAGGATAGAGGCACCCTCACTCCCTCTCCCCACCTCCACCCACAGCTCCTCTGACATCCGGGTTAAGGTGCAGGGTTCTGGGACTCCATGGGCCCAGAAAAGGGGAGGGGGCTTCCGTAAGGACTGGACGTGTGCTCAGTGGTGAATGCAGGCCATGGCTTCCCCCACCATAGGCGCTCTCTGACCCCTCTCGGTCGGAACTGACAGCACTGGCTTCACTGGCCCAGTAGAAAGGATGGAGGCTTTGTCACACATCCCTCCTCCCGTAAACACCCTGCCCAGTGCATCGTCTTCTTCATACTGGCTGGGGAACACATCAAAGCCCTCTTCACAATAAGGTAGGAACGTCAGGACCCTTTACCCTAGCCCTTGATGGGTGGGTGGGGCAGGGGGCGGGTACAGATTTCTCTCTAAGAGGCTTGCAAGACAGTTTTGACCTGCTAGTAAATTCTCGCAGCCATTTTGGGAGGCAGGTGGTATTATCCTCTCCCGTCAGCAGATGGAGGCTCAGACTGAACGTGACTTGCCCAGGGCCACACGGCCAGCAAAGACTCAAATCTAATGAGAGGAGATTCCCACCCTGAAACTGGTTTCAGAAGCTGATCCTCCGGCTGTGTACAAGCTTCCATTATTTAGACAACCTCTTGGCTTTTTTTTCTCCCCATTTCACAGTTTGTTTTCAGACCGGGGTGGAGTAGAGAGGCAGGCGGGAGGCCTTTCCTCCTGGCTGCTAGACCTCTGTGGCCAGCTAGGGCGTGTTTGTTGTGCCCTGGCTGTTTGTATTTGGAGGTGGAGCTGACCCCAGCTGGGGCCCACGAAGCCCAGCGGGTGAAGGAATGTCAGGCTTAGGTCTCAGGCCGGCCTCCAGCAGCCACTACAAGTCACGGGGCATGGAATATTAGACTCACGTGTAGCAGGGAATTTGCACCGGAGCCAAGAAGAGAGCTTGCAGCTGTCAGGGAATGGCCGCGTGAAGGGAGTTCCAGCTCCCCTGGTTCAGCATGCTTCGTATTCTTCAAGACAGAGCCTGCTTTTTTACACCCTGCTGGGGCCACACCCTGCCAGCCCAGATGGGTCTCCTCACGCAGTTGGGCAGAGGTGTAACTGGCTGCAACAGCAAGTCTTCCAGGATTGGTGGGAAGAGAGGGCATGAATTTGCTTCTCTAAGTCCAACCACCTGGCTCTGTCTCTCTGGTCTATAATGTTAGTTTGCATTCGATTTGTTTATTGTCTTCTCACCTCTTCTCAGATGTCCAGGCCAGGACTACCTGCCCAGCTGCTAATTATGGTAGTGAGGCCATGCCACTCTTTCAAGAGTAGACCCAGATTTTTGTAGTCTGTACCAAAAAATGGCAGAGATGAGATGGGGTAGAGTGGGGTAAATGGAGCATCCCGCTTGCCGGCAGTAATCCATTCCCTCCTCTCCCCCTGACAGTGACGCTGTCAAGCCATGGTGGTTGAGAACAGCTGATCCAGGTCAAGGCTCTCATTTTATAAATGAGGAAACTGAGGCCCACAGAAGAGAAAGGGCTAGTCCAAGACCACACGGGGAGTTAGTGGCGGAGTTGGTCATGGAATCCAGGCTCCCCAACTTGCAGCCCTTTTAATGCTCTCTCTACTAGCTCTGGAGGCTGGCCGTGGAACAGCTTGGCCAGAGGAAGGTATAATGGTCATCGTCACAGCTGCTCGCCCCCAGGGAACGCTGAAGCTATGCCAGGCAGTGGGACTTTACCCTGACCATCCCATTTCATCCTCACGGCAGGCCTTGCCCCATTCCTGGCTACCATCCTACTTCCCTATTTTCTAACAGCCTCAGTTTTCCAGTCCCCCAGGTCGGGAACCTCTGAATCACCACTGTCCATACTGCTGCTTCCTCATTTCTGTTCAGTTCTTCCTTCACGATGGTCTAGTTCAGGTTCTCATCACCACTTGCCTGCATTATTGCAATAGCCTCCCCGTCTCCACCAGCCCATCCAATAACACAACACCAGCATTGGGGGAGTCTCCCTCAGAGCCTGCCCGGTGGCTGTTTATAAATTGACGTGTGATGCAGAAGTAATGACCAAAGTAAGTATTTCTCCAAGTTTCCATAGCACCCACCAGCTCAATAAGTGCTTTCAAAACTATTGTTTCGTACAAGGAATTAGGACACCTCACTTCTAGTCTGGTTCTAATTCTTGGAGTGGTCTTGGGCAAGTCAAGACCACTTGGGCAAATCAGTTCCACCTCCTCCCTGTTATCTTGCAAATGGTGGAGTCCAAGTTCCTTTCCAGCTCTAACCACTCCCCGGCACTGTTCTTCTCTTCCAGATGGACTGCCATGCTGGTGTGAGCAGCAGCATCTACGAGTATGGAGCCCTCACCATTGACGGGGAGGAGTACATCCCCTTTAAGCAGTACGCTGGCAAATACATCCTCTTTGTCAACGTGGCCAGCTACTGAGGCCTGACGGGCCAGTACATTGGTAAGGGCCCATGCCTCTTCCCCTGCTTTATTTGGGGCTGTTTCTGCCAGTTGGGCACACTCCAATCACAGGAGCTTTCGCCGTGCAAGGGGGAAGGGGTGACGGTGATCACGAGATCCCAAACTCCGTATCTTAGTCCTACTGTGTTCCATGGTTCTTTGAAAATGATTATATAAGCCTGAGGTCTGATCACCTTCAAACATGTTCTGGAAGATTCTCAGTTATCCTTCATCCCTGGGCACCTCAGTTGCTCTAAAAGCAGAAGGAGGGAGGAGATTGGGTTTGTGCCTGGAGCGTCCTTTCATTGGAGTAAGAAACCATAGCTTTGTCTTGCTGAGAATTCCTCACCTGTCCTCAGCCCCATCTGCCTTAGTGCTTCTCTTGGCCCCTGGAAAGCAGGCAACTGGCCTGAGTCCCCAGAGTACGGGTGTTAGTGACAGAACCAGGTGTTGCACCCAGGTTTCATGATCCCTTGTATCCTCACTTCTTTCTCCTCGGCTGGGTCAGAGTCAAGAGCCTGAAGGAACAGGCAGGCGAAAGGCATCTGGCAGCACCCACAAGAAAATGCTTTGGGGGGTGGGGTGGGGTGTGAGAGGGAGGCATGGGCAACCTGACCTAGAACGTTCTGCCTGGCAATCATTGGACCTTGGCAGTGGGTGACATTTGATGAACCATATTGCTCTCTTTTCCCCCAAACCTCCAACCTATCCAGATTGGAATCCATAGCATGGGACTTGAATCCCAGCATTGTCACACTCAGTGGATGATCTTGGGCAAGTCCCTTCCCCTGTCAGGCCTCAGTGATTTCAGCTGTACAATGGGTGAGCAGGTGGAGTGGTACACAGGAGGGAGGGCTCCTCATCAGGCTAGCCCAGTCTCTTCTCTCTCTCTCCCTGGCCCAGAACTGAATGCACTACAGGAAGAACTTGCACCATTTGGTCTGGTCATTCTGGGCTTCCCCTGCAACCAATTCGGAAAACAGGAACCAGGAATGAACTCGGAGATCCTAGCCACTCTCAAGTGAGTGCTAACTCAGTGTCCTGAGAAAGCGCCCCAGCCTAGCCTCCAGGCATCTCTTGCAGCGGCCCCTACTCATGATGGATATTTATCAGCCTCCAAGAACTACTCTCCCCTTCCAGGAACCCCGTTTAGTGGAACGAGTGGAAGAGGGGCCAGGAGAGGGACAGAGACGAGGACGATGGTTGTTAGCACATGACCGGGGAGGGGGAAGGGGAGTACAGGTGGAGGGCAGGGGTTTATTGAGAAGGTACCAAACTGGAAAAAGACTGTAGACCCACATTATGCCTGTGCCCATTCACTATTCACTGGCTCCCACTGCCCACTGTAGAATAAAATCCAGACTCCCAACACCCCCTCCCCTGTTCTGTCCTTTCCTCTCATTTCTGAGCCCTGTGCCCATTTCCCTGGGACCCACATAAAAACATTGCTCTTAGGCATGTCCGACCAGGTGGGGGCTTCGTCCCCAATTTCCAGCTCTTTGAGAAAGGGGATGTGAACGGGGAGAAAGAACAGAAGTTCTACACATTCCTGAAGGTGAGTACACAGCCACCTCTATCAGAGCCTCTCTGCCCAGCTGATGCTGGCTCTGGACCAGGCTGCAGCCGCTCCTGGCTCCAGCCCACGTAAAGACAAGGCCTGTGCAACCCTCCTCTGCTCCTGGGCTCTTGGGGAATTTCTTGGCATCTGATTATTATTCCAACTAGAGGGCTTTGCAAACCCTAGGGTCTCATCCGCCCATTTTACAGATGGGCCCCAGAAGGGACAAGATTAGGGTCTCACAATCTGCTAGAGCCAAAACAGGTTCTGAGATTCAGTTTCTAACTCCCAAACTGGTGCTCCTTTCTCAGTGCCAGGCTATTCTCCTTCCTCCAAGGAGCCCTGGGAAGGAGGCGGGATAAGAGGGTGGGAGGGGTCCCAAGCAGGGTTGACTCTATTCTCATCTCTGCTCCAGAACTCCTGTCCTCCTACCTCGGAGCTCCTGGGCTCACCGGGCCGCCTCTTCTGGGATCCCATGAAGGTTCATGACATCCGCTGGAACTTTGAGAAGTTCCTGGTGGGGCCAGATGGTGCTCCCATCATGCGCTGGCACCACCGCACCACGGTCAACACTGTCAAGATGGACATCCTGACCTACATGCGGCGCCGGGCCACCCTGGAGGCCAAGGGGAAGTAACTGAGGCCCACCCCACCCCACGTCCACCACGCAGGGGCTGGGGAGGACTCTGTTCAGGAAGGAATCCATTTCTCCACCCACACCATACTCCCACGCTAGACCCCTTATGATTACGCAAGGCCTCAGCTTGACACGAACGTGTGCATACAGTTGTGTCTGTACTGCTGTGCACATGGGTGTTCGCACGCATGCCTACAGCTGTGTGTGACCAGGTATGTGCACACACGTAAGCGTACGGCCACGTGGGCTGACCTGCACGAATACCCAGGAACGTGTACCGTGTGTGTGGCGACAGCTGTGTGCCGTGGAGAGTGCCAGAGAGTGACTCCCCTCTTTCCAGTTCTCTGTTCCAATGACAATTCACCTCCTTCTGAGCCCAAAGGAAAAAGACAGCTCTAGATTCAACTGTTCTGCTCTAACCTGGACCTCAACCCTTGGAGCCGGCACCTCCCACTGCCTCCAAACACCACCCTTGAAATGCCCAGAAGTTTCTGGGTCTGCCACACTGCCCGACCTCCCTCGTCTCCATCACACAGCCTCCCTCCTTCCTGAGGGCCCTGCCAAGCCCCCTACCCGGCCCCGCAGTGTTCCCTGAGAGTAGCCAAGGCAGATGTGAGAGCAAGGGCCACGTTCCCCGTGTCAGGGGTGGCATCTCCATGAAGGAGGGGCCCGAAGCCCTTGTGGGCGGACCTCCCTTGAGCCTGTCTGAAGGGCCAGCCCTTAGTGCATTCAGGCTGAGACCCCCAGGCAGGGATGCCACCCCCGCTCCTTTGAGGGATGTGCCCTCTCCTCTCACCCCGACCCACTGGCATTAGACTCACCCCTGTCTGCCTAGTAAAGGCCTTTCTGCAGCAGCTGAGCCTACTGTGATGCCTCCTCAATGGGGCCACCCTCGCCGGCGGGAAGGGAGAAGAGGAAGAGGAAGGGAAAAGGAGTGAAGGGAGACCTTTGGGCCCTTGCGTTTTGGTTTCCACCTAGGCCCACTCTGCTTCCTCACTCGGCATTTGGAGTTTATAAAGCCAGCTCCCATCTACTCCCATCCCACAGTTCTCCACGGCAGCTAGGGCTCGGGTGAGGTGTTCATTTGACAGATGAAGAAACAGGCTCGCAGAAGGTCCAGGCCTTGCCCAATGTCTCCTGACAAGCGAAGGGCAGGACTAGAATGTAAACCCAGGTTGCCTGACCCCCAGCCCCTGGATGACCCTCATGGAGGCTCTGAGCAGGGCCCCAGGGGATATCTGCCAAGAGTAATGGTGATGCTCCTGGGGGTGTCTGGGAGGAATGGGGTATGGAGGGAGGGGGCCAGGAAAGCAGCACGCTGGTTGACTAGGAGGGGAACATTAATCAGGGCATAAAAGAATACCAGTGACAAAATGTTCATCTTTCACTTGGATTTATGTCCAAGATTCGTGCAAACAGCTGCCCGGGGATCAACAGCCACCCCAAACCGGGCCTCCAGCACCACAAGCCTCCAGCTGAGGGCCTGGCAGCTTCAGGCTGGGGCCCCTCAGCCAATGTGGCTGGCATGGGCTTCATCCCAGGCTGCAGTGGTGCTGGCAAGGCTGCCGTGGGCGGAAGTGGAGGGCCCAGGAGTAGAGCATCCTGTCTCTTCTGCTCCCAGAGGCAAACCCACTCTTCCCGCAGCTCCTCAGAGGGGGAGGGGATGTGCATGGGGCAGGTCCTGCTACTGCAGAGCTTGAAGCAAAAACTAAACACACACATGAACTGAATGTGGTCCCCAGAGGGGCTGCTGA